GTTACTCCTTCTATCGGTCAGACACATTCATCGACGGCTAACATAATTTATGGCCTTGGATCATCAGAAATGCCGTTCTCTCCTACTATTCAGGCTCTCTCGAGCTCAGGATGTAGCCATAAGCATTGTGTGGCGCTCACCACCTGTTCTGGAAGCCAGTGGCCAAGCCACCCTACTGAACGTGCCTCGCCCCTTCAAAAGCCGATGGGATTGCTGAGTGAGCCACCTTTGGCGTCGACCTGTTTCAAAGACCTTATTCATTTTGCTATTGAGAAAAATCTCAGCCAGGTAATTTATCTGACTTTTCTTTATTGTCTATATTCTTTGCTCTATAACATTAAGATTTGCGTTGATTCTTTTTTTCTTAATAGGTGACAGAAAAAATTAAACTAATAAAAATGAGTTTTGAAGGCACATTTTGATATTCGCAGATACTTATCAGTTGTATAATTAGAAATTGAACAAAGGAAGGCACTTGGTTGAAGCTTGACTTCATTAGCTTCCCGTTCATTAGTAGCTTTTCGAAACTGCTAATATTACCTTTATATGTGAAGTGTTGTTAGTTGAATTTTTCCCATAATGTTATAATTAAGTCTTATGTTTTCAATGAATTTCACATATCCTTGCTTCTTAAAAGTTATTCTCGTCCAGGGTGGACTGCAGTTTCGAAGTCGCTTAAGTCACATCAACACCCTCAGCAGGACTCGAATCCTGATAGTGCAGTGTATAATTCGACAAGGTAACCAGTACACCACACGAGGACCCTTGGATAACAGGGCATATGCGAATTCGTTTTTAAGTAGGTTTTCGAGACTACCACTAAATCAGACATATGAAATGTACTCACCCTGTTTCTTTTAAGGTAATGAAGTGTTAGTAATTGAATTTTTCCTGCATTGATGTTGGTAGGCCATACGCTTCCCTTTGAATTCCACATAAACTTAAAGTATATCCTTTTCGTCGCAGAATATTTCTTTCACTTACTATAATTTTCCCTTTTATTTTGCTCCATTATTTTCTAAAAGAATAGCGGTAGAATCCTACTAAGGTAACAAAATTTCATCTTCTCAAGCCACTTACTGTGTTTTATTTATTAACTTTTTGATGTCTTTCTGTCTCATGAGGTGTTTTTCGAAGATATGGAGACCAAGATGGTGTGGCCCTCGATATGGTTCCAATCTCCTTTCGATTTATATAAGTGGATTGATCTAGTTTTCGCAACTTGGTCTTGTTGTCGAGGCGACTTAGTAGTGTAACCGTTTCGGCAGAACGTTGGTTGAGGGATTGACTTCACTTGTCTGACGAATTTGCAGCTTGGTTAGGAGAATGACAAGACTCATTGATGATGCCGACTACGATGCCGGCGAAACGTCTGAGAATGTATCAAGTCCACGGTCTGATGTTGGGAATTATGATAACTACTATAGCACAGGACTTCAGACGAAGTGCGTTTAACTAAGTCTCCTTGACAAGACCAAGTTGCGAAAACCTTTCTTACGCTGGTACTTAATATGCAGATTTAAAAAAATCATCTTACGTAGCACAAGAAAAAGGACATTGACATCTAATAGATAATGTGTTCTATCCTATCCGAATTTATTGATTAATTTCGAGGTTGAACCTAATATTAACTGTCCCACATCAGGAACTTTACAACTATATTTTAAATTCCCAACCAAGCCTGAATTTTATTTCGTCTCCTTGCTTATCAGCAAGCCTGACTCATTCTGCATCTATTTGATCATCTGCGACTTTACTGATGTTCCTCTTCTTTTTTGCTATTCGCTTTTTTATCATGTTGAGTTAACCTAGTTACTTCATTTATTATCAATGTTTATCAAAGTTGTCCATCATTTAATTAATCTTCTTTCCTAAAAAGCATACAACCCTAATACATATGAACATATTATTCTCTCTGATACTCTTACACAATTATTAGCACTCTTTCTCTCCTTAAGCTGCACTTTCCCGACATATATTTGGCTCAAATACTCTTCATAGTCTCGCTAATTACTCTTATTTGAGAGTTCTTTCTTGGCCCCTAATAGATCTATTTATCCTAACATAGCTATACTCTTTGTATTGAATGCTTAAAATATGCTTTTTGAAGAGTCTCTATAAATTTTTTTTGATCAACCTTGGGGAACTGACTCAATACTATTTTTGTCATAACAGTCATTGTCAGTTTCAGCAGTGGGTCGTTGACTTAGCAAATTTTCAAACTTTGCACCTGAATCGTAGTCGGCATTATCAATGAGAGGCGCCATCTTTACCACCAAGGCTCATCTCTTCCCCTCCTTTAACAAGGCCTAGGAGCCTCAGGGAATGTGAAGAATAGGGGTGGTTGGGAAAGCGTATTAACTTCATTATCAATTAAATGAACAATTTTGTTTTATTTTTGATTAAACAGTTGACCAGATTTCGACTTCCTGAACGCCTGTAAAAATTTAAATGAGGTGCTTTTACATATTTATTACAGTCATGTTCAGCGGCACAAAACAAATCTTCTCTTCACACCATCTTAGGAGATAATTTACTTTTTCAAATTTTAATTAAATAATCATGCCTCTTTTTCTTCTTGGTATTCAGCAACCATGGTGCCGTCCATTAGATTCGATGTCCATCTCTACCCCATTAACGTCCATGGCCCCTTCCATTGGTCTGTCTAGTCAGATGGCTGCCTCATGCCCTTGTTCTGGATCCTCTCCAAGTATTCTGTACTCGCAGCCACAATACCAGTATTCAAATCCACATCAACAAGCTTCGCATTTACACTCACATCATACTTTAAGTCATCAACACCAACAGCCCTTATTTAGTCATCAACAACATCTTCATCCTGGCCTAACTATTGGATCCTTACCCCTTGGGCATCATTCATCCGTTCAACCAATTTCTTCATCCTCTGAATCCATTCGACATGGTATTGTCTCCTCATTATCTTCATCCAACATTGGGCCCGGGCTTGTATCAACTGCTTCATCAAGTTCTAGCAATGCAAATCTGTGTACTGTTAATAGCCTGCTTAGTGGACTTGGTAAGCCGTTTTATTATATCATATTTTTCCTATTTGGAATTATAAGAATTTTATTCTCTCCTGGCCATAATTTTTATTATTTCGCCTTCGATCAAATATTTATTTGCTAATTTTTCATTCCTTTATTTCATTTACCTTTAGATCCGGCCATTCTTCAAGCTGCTTTAGCCAAAGTAGGTCCCTTATCTAGCGATCCTTCGATTTCTGCAGCCATTGCTGCTATGGTGACTGCTGGTGCACTTCCACATTCACTTAACATGCCCAACGAATATAAGCAGACATATCACCCCCACCACTCGCCCCCTGCTCTATCTGTCTCCGTTCCTGCTCCGGCTTCGGGCACTCAATATCATTCTGCTCAGTATCCCCATCACTCACAGGCGTCGCAGCAGCATCAACAACACCATCACTCTCATCAGCATCAGCAATTGCCTCGCAAACAATGTTCCTCTCAACAAATTTCACGGCCTCATCAACCGCACCATGCCCATCACACTGAACGTCTGCCAACCATCTATTCACCAGGTTTGGCAGGCTCATCTTTATCTGGATTCCAGAGCACGCATTTATCTGGATTTAACCCATTTGTTGAATCAAATAATGGCGTTACTATAGCAGGAAACGCCCCGAGCAATAGTGGGAGTGGAAGCGGAGGCGTAGTTGCGGGACCGCAAATACGTTTGCACACCCCTTCTTTGATGGCTGAAGTGTGTGCAGCTGCTGCAGCTGCTGCAGCCCAATTCGCTGTTTCGCGAAGCGCCGATATGTCTCCGACTGGTCATCTCATTAACTCACTAGCCGCTGGTGGTTCGGTAAATTAATTTTTTCCAACAAGCTTATATCTGCATATACTAGTGCTTTTTGAAAGGTACACGATCAAAAATTCATCTTTTAATAGATTTTAAGCCTTTTTATATTCATGCCTTCTTATATTCCGATGTTTTTATGATTTTAATCATCTTTTTACTTAATTCTTGATACAACTTATTAGTGTTACTTGCATCCATATCTACAATAAAGCCAAAAAGGCACAGTTCTTTAAAATATTTATTTGTCTGCTTGCTTGTTTACGATTAATTTTATATTCCCCCCAAAATATAGTTTCCTTATCTATGATTTGTTTGTTGGGGTGACCCATCTCACCAGAAGAAAACGGCAGATGCCTATTGTACTGCAGTCGTTTGGCTTTAATGCGATGTTCAAATTGACGCAGTCCACGCGACATCATCTATCATTTCGGGTGAAAACAGACTGGGGTTTCGCCTACCATATGACGGACATCAGAGTTGGAGCTCATTCCTGTAAAAGTCTCAAATGAGCATTAGATCACGAAGACTATCCGCCTCTTAAATAAATTCATGACAAGTAAACAATATGTATAGTCATAGATATATATAAAATGGCTTGGATAATTATCTTTTATTTTTAGTATGCAAATAGAGTTTCGCGACTACTAGTTCTTCATCACCTTAAAAGAAATAGGGTGAATACACCTTACATAAATTATCTTTTATATTGATCATGGTACTTTTACCTTTTTATCGAAGGCATGAAGACCAAGATGGTATGGCCTTTTATGTGGTCACAGTTTCCTTTCGTTACCTAATAACAAGTCTATGACTTGCCATGTCCTAGTCTCTTGTGTGCCAGCCCACAAACGCTGGGGTTCAACATTGAACCTAACCAAATCAAGCAGTACCACAACATTTGTCGGTTGGCACACAAGAGACTAGGGCATAGCAAGTCATAGACTTGGTATTAAGGATAGAAACAGGATAGATACGGCGGGGACCGGAGCTAGTTGACTGACGGTAGGTTTGTTGTACCAGAGACGTGGTCCATGTAGCAAAGGGGTGACGATGACACTCAGAGGCCTAAGCCTCGAATTAGTCACCCAGACGCAGGTGAGGGCTAATATTGCTTCGAGTAGGACAGATGTGGTGACAAGAGTCGAGTGAAATAAGTGAACAAAGGGTAGAGCAAACGGATTTCACGGAGCAAGAGAGAGACTGAGATAAGACTAGAAAAGAGGACTTCATAATAATAAAGCAGA